GTGCGGGTAGGGTGAGCTCGGCGTCCGCGTCCCCATGCCCAGCTTGCCGCCCACCCACTCAGGGTGCCCGCCCGCCCCCGGCGCCGGGATTCTCGCCACCCTGCCAGCCCTGGGCGGCTCTCGGGTCTCGTGGTCTCTTCAAACCTGCCCCCTGGCTCCATTCCACTCTCCTCCCGCCCCTGACTCTTCGTTCTCAGCTCACGTTTCGCCTCCTGGAAGCAGCCTCGCCTGCCCGCCCCAGGCTGCGTTGGCTGGGGCGTCCTCTGGCCGCTGCTCCGCTGCCTGCCTGGCCGTGCCTTCGTACTCCAGGGACAAGTGTCTTCATCTGTCTTATTAGCGCTACTGGACTCACATCTCATTTTAGCTGAGTGTTCTGGGCTGAACTGTGTCCCCCTAACAGTCATTACGCTGAAGCCCTAACCTTCAGTACCTCAGAATGTGGCTGTATTTAAAGAAAGGGCCTTTAAAGAGACAAGTTAAAATGAGGTCATGAGGATGGGCCCTAATCCCACAAGGCTGGTGTCCTTTTAAGAGGTTAGGACACAGACGTGTGCAGAAGGGAGGCCACCTGAGGACACGGAGAAGACAGCTCTCTATGCCCCCAGGCGAGAGGCCTCAGGAAAAGCCAACCCTGCCAGCACCTTCATCTTGTACTGCCAGCCTCCAGAACCAGGAGAAAATAAACTTCTGTTGTTTAAGGAATGTGCTACTTTGTTATGGCAGCCCCAGAAAACGAATATATCTAGTAAAGGCTCTGGTAAGTCCTGAAGTTAGAAGCCCCCGGGAACACCCTGGGGGTAAGGAGGAAGATGAGCGGGGAGAGCTCCAACTTGCTGGGGTGGGAATCAGGCATGATTTGCTGTGTGCTGGTTCTCGCACAAATGCAGTCTGATCCCCGGAGCTAGAGAAGACCCCCCATGGGGCTGCAGCCCTGTCAGGGCAGCTCCTAGGGGCTTGGGAGGGTGAATACAGGGCCATTCTGTTTGGCAACAATACTACTAACAATCTCATTGGAGCAGTCAAGGTAACTCTAGTGACAATGGGGGAACAGCAACCATCACCCATCAGCTTTCTGACACCATGACTTATTTCCTCCGCAAAGCATTTTTTTGCCCCATTTGTTTGAAGGGGAACCCAGCAAGTTGGCCAACACCTAACAATTAGTCAGACTTGGAGATAACATTCAAACAAGAGCCCAAGTTCATAATCTCCACTTGGGTTTCAGATGTCCTCCACAGGACAACAGGGTGTGATTGGGCTGGAGGCATAGGCCAGGGGATGAGACCCATGGGAGGCTGGCCCACTATAGCTCCCTGGGAAAAAAGCAAGGTAGATGCTGGCCCCAGACAGAGGAATATAGTTTATTCTTCTGAAAAGGGAGGGGTACAGGTCAGGGTGGAGGTGGGAGGGTCAAGGCAAGGAAATGTCCTCTAACTTCTGGTCCAGCGTCTTGAGGTCATCCAGGAAGCGGGTTGGAGTGAGGATGTGTGAGGAGCCTGGGCAGGAGGGGAGGGTTGGGAAGGTGGGGTCCATGCCCAAGTCCCTGACACCCCCAGCCAGGGTCCTTGGGAGATCAGGCCTTGACTCTGAGCATTCCTTTTAAACACAGGGGTCCAGGCCCTAAGTGACTCCTTTCCTTTGGAACCCAAGTTCCAGTCCCAGTGAAACCCAAGTGTCCAGTCACCTCCCCTCATCTAGGGCTCTCAGATGTCAGCCCTGCAGAAGCCCCAGGCTTTGAGAACGCAGGACTCCAGCTGTCAGGCCACCTTTCTAAAGCGCCTGGGAGTCCAGCGCCAGCCCAAGGGACCCAGGCATGGGGGAGTCCAGATCCTGGTCCCACCCCAGCCCAAAGACCCCCGTCCTGGCTCCTCACCAATTAGCACCTCCCACTTGCCATCGGTGGCCCTGGTCACTTCATAGGCAGCCCTCATCTCCGACATGGCCACGCCGCCCACAATGTAGATGATAAGCCGGGGCCCTGCCCGTGCCTCCACACCAGCCTTGTTCTTATGCCAGTGGCCGAAGCGGGCACTGTGTGGGTGGAAGGGGGGGAAGTGGGCAGAGGTCAGTCTGGACAAGAGACCCCCCCACACCCCTCAAGTAACACCGGCATGGACACCAGTAGGGGGCATCCCCAGGGCCTTCACCTGACTGCAGCCTGGGAGCTTGGCATGGGGGTGGGGTCCGACACAAAGGGCCAGAGCTTGCGGTCCAGCCGGTCTTCCACTGCGTCCTGGGGGCCAGAGAGCGAGGCTTAGAAGAGGAGCTTAAGGCAATGGGGCCCGGGCTCTGGATTCCCCTCATTGGGTATTTCAGGAGCCAAGATCCTGGCAGACAGGAGCCCTCTTCATCCCCTCGGGGACCTAGGGGTCTGGACCCTCAGTCCCTTGGGGACCCAGGAGTATAGACTCCCAGTCCCCTGTGACCCAGAAGTCCAGCCCCCCAGCCCCTCAGAGACCCAGGAATCCAGGTATCCACAGTTCTCAGAGGAGCCAGTGACTGGGCCCCCAAGCAGGTGGAAGTGCCAGGACTCCACAGGGACATCAGGCAAGAAGCCAGGAAGCGGGCCCCTGACCTAGTCTTTTTTGGTTTTGCCACTTTTAGTGACTAGGATGGGCAGGGGCCAGTGGGAGAAGGCAAAGGGGGGAAGAAGGGGTTTTCCCAGAAACGGGAAGAAACTAGGGTGATGGAGGGGATCAGAGGAGGGGAACGGTAGGTGGAGAGAAACTGAGACATCCTGCAAGGGGCCCCTCTGCTGCCCCAATTCCTTGGATAGGTTTGGGGTGCCCCCTGGCACAGCAGACTAGATGCTGGGGATGCCTTCAATAAGGGATTTCCCATTAAGCCCCAAGGCTTAGCCCCATGAGCATGGAGGGGACTGAGCTGATGCCTGGATCAGGGCAGGACCTGGGGGGGGGCAGGAGAGGCCCAGCCCCTACCCTCCCAGTGCCCATCTCCACCCATGGTACCTCCATCACGTCCTTGATGACTGGGGTCCAGCGGGACAGCTGATAGGTGGGCTCCAAGCGCTCCCTCCGCTCCAGCCGGCTGGAGGTCCCAGGGCCCTGGGCAGAATGTGGCGGGCAGGTGGGGTAATGGAGGAGGAAGGTCATAGATGGGGCTAGGGCTCCTACTGCTTGGGGGGGTTGCAGAAAAAGATGCAGAGAACAGAAAACTAGAGAGAGAGATTGAGAGAGAAAGAGGAAGAAATACAGAGACAGTGAGATAAAGATTGAGCAAAGAGGAGAAGGAAGACAAAGAAAGAAGTGGGGACAGAGACGGGAGGACAGAGGAACTGGAACGGAGAGGTGGGAGGTGGCAATGGGACCAGGAAAGAGATGGGGAAATATGAGAGAGGCGCCACCCAGGGGTGTGTAGGATGTGAGGGCGAGAGAGACAGGAGAGGCTACGCAAATCCCAACAGAGGAAGTTGCTGTGTGTGCTGGGCGCACAGGAGTCCTCTGAGATGTCCAGGAGCCCAGGGCCAACCGTGTGTTCTCACCCCCGTGCTAGCAATGTGCCATCCACCCCTGGGAACTCAGACCACAGATGCCATGCTGCACCACCACCAGGACTTGGGCTCTGACCACACCTCACCCCCCTGGTAAAGCGTGGCCCAGAGTTGGGGACAGCCCTGGTGCTCCCTGGTCGCCAGACCAATCACTACACAGTATTCTGTCCCCCCCAAAACCACACCATACACCCCAGCCCTCCACGACCCAGGGCCCAAGCTCTGCCTCAATGCCTTCTCCACAGGCTCTGTCCCCCACCCCCCAAGCCTACATTTGCCTTCCACCCAGACTCTGCACCCAGCATACCCCGGGGTTGGTGACAGTGGCCCCCAACTGCTCCAGGTTCCGGATGAGGCTGCTGTGGGCCTGTACATTGGCATGCTGGATCAGCTTGGCCAGGTTCTCCTCACTTACACCTGGTGGAGGGGGATGGGCAGGCTTACACGGGTGGGATTCTCATGCGGGTGGGCTCCGGGAGGGCAGGGGGACAGAAAGTGGCCATGTGACTTCCTGGGTTAGGGGTGGTGTGAGGAGGTCCCAGGACCTGCAGTGGGGAGGTTCTCAGGACCGAGGAACCCACCAGGGCTGGTGCAAGTGGGAATCCGGATGTTAGAATTCTGGGTGGGGATGGAGTCTAGACAGGGCAGGCTGGGGGTCCCCTGGAATTAGTTGAGAAGCCAAGTTTGGAGGAGTCAGATTTTGGGAGTTTTCCATGTTAATGAAGCTCTCATATCAATGAAGGGTTCCCAGGTCAATGGAGGGGGGGTATCCCAGGATCCAAAGGGGTATCTGTGAGGTTTGTTGTGCCTGGTCAGTGGGGACATCTCAAGGACAGGGAACTGTGGTGTGGGGTTGAGAGAGTCTCAGGACCACTGGAGACCCTGATGAACCACGGTGTCCCAAGACCCCAGTGCCCCCACCCACCATTCCGCAGGAGAATGTAGAGCAACAAGACCCGGATCTTGTCGTAGGCGGGCACTGCTGCGTCCAGCAGCACTGGCACGATCAGCTTCATGGCGTCCTTTATCTTCTCACCTTCTGGGTCGGAGCCCATGGCCAAGTCCTGTGGGGATTGGAGGTCAGCTGTCCTGTCAGCCACCTGGGGTGGGGCATGGCAGGAACATCCCCAGGGTCATTGGTTAAGACCTTTGGGGGCTGCTTCAACCTAGTACCTGGTCTCTACCCGTCTGCCAACAAGCCCCTCCCTTCACATGGGCCACACCCTGTCCTGCCAGCCCCTCAGCTGCCCCCACCTGCTCCACACTGCACAGCTTCTCCACGGTACCCTTGAAGCGCTTCATGCAGTCGTCAGCTAAGTGCAGGTGCGTAGAGTACTGCGGGGTAGGGAGGGGGAATCAGGGGTAACAGACTGAGTCAAGAGACAGGGTGGCAGGTGTGGTGGGGGAGCAGGTACTGGCCTGTGTTCACCTTGTTCAGCTCCTTCTGGTATTGTGGCATCTTTTTCAGGATGTGGGACAGGTCTTTGATGTTGGCCTATGGACAGGGTGGGGGTGAGGTCCCCAGTCCAGGCTTGGGATCCAGACTGAGGTCCCACCCCCGCTCCATGGGAAGGGGGCTTTCCTCCCAAGCTGCCCATCCTGATGCAGGCCAGCCTGTACCTTGTCGGTGGTGAGTCTCTTGCTCTCGCAGAATGTCTTCAGAAGCTCTGTGACCTTCCTGGCCGTGAAGGTGGGCAGAGGTAAGGTTGGGGGCTGGTGCCAAGAATGTAGTTTGAGGGCAGTGTGGGGGTCGAATGGCTGGGAGGAGCCCGGCAGCCAGGGGACGCATGTCCCTGCACTATGCCATGTGCAAGCCCACACTGGGGACACACTGGAGAGTTGGCTGAGGGATGTGGCTTGTAGAAGGGCGTGCTCAGCTAAGGTGGAAGGTCCAGTACTAGGCCCACAATGGAGAGGGGTGGTGACGCTGGTAGTAGGGATACAGGTGGGGACAGTGGTACAGAATGGCCCCCCCGCTGCCCCCCACGAGCACACACTTGGACACATCCGCAATGTGCATGTGCCGCAGCTCCACCCATAGGTCATCGTCCTCATCGAGCAGCACAGCCTTCTCACAGGCCTCGCTCAGCCCTGTGGTCTCATACCTGCAGGAGGGGCGAGACAGGAAGGTCAGGGCCAATAGCTGAGGACAAGGGACCCAGGCACCCAGGCACCCAGGGACCCAGGGACCCAGGGACTCAGGTCGGTTGTGATGGGAGAAGGGGTTTTCAGGGAAAAGGGGAAGATTTTTCTACCTGTACGTGTCCTGTTCAATGTCCAGCAGGTCATAGGCCATGGCCTGGAATGTGAGCTCATGCAACAGCGGGGACACGGGGTCGGCCGCCCGGTCCATGATCAGTAGTTGTGAGCGGGTTTTCTCAGGGCCCTACGGGTGGGCAGGCAGGAGGACATTAACCCTGACCATGGCTGGGGCCCTGCCCCACCACCCAGCATACCCCCTTACCTCGCCCAGACTGGGAGTGTCTGCCTTGAAGGCATTCAGCTTGGCCAGGACTGCATGGGCCAGCTGGGCCGTGTCCTCTGGTCCCCTGGGGGTGGGACAGGCAGACATGGCACCACAGGGAGTAGGGTTGGGGAGGACCAAGCACAGACTAGGGGTCAAGGATGGGGTTAGGGATAGGAGTCAGGGGGCAGGGTGAGGGCTGGGGCTGGTATCACAAAAGGGGTGAAAGGTGGATGCAGGATGGGGTCAAGGTCAGGGGGCAGCATCAGGCTGGGGTTCCCACTTGTGGTAGCGGATGGCTGGGTACTCCTGCAGTGTGGCGCAAAGTGTGGCGATCTGCTGGGCCAGCGCCTCAAGCTGCCGTGCCCGCTCACCTGCCCGGAAGGGGCAGTAGAGGTTGTAGGTGCTGTGGGGGGCATCCAGGGAGAACACCTGCAAGGACACAAGTGCCAGTGTCTCCACTGTAGGTATGCACCTGCCCAGCACCAGCCACCAGCACCTACCACTCCCTGGGGCCTCCCTGGAGCCCACTTTGCCATTCAGGAGGCAAGCTGGGGCACCCCCAACCCATGCCTAGAGGAGGAGGTGGAGAAAATACCCGTCTCGCCCCCTTGAGCAGGACAACTCAGAGGCTGCTCTATGCTGCCCCTTGCAGTTGCTCAGTGGCACGCAGCTCCAGGTGCCTACAGTGGTAAGAGTTCATTCATTCCATGCTGGCTCCTTTCCTTTCTGACTCACTGTCCCCTTTACTTGTCTCAAAGCGTTTCTGGGGGAACCTGGGTTGTTTGGTCACCGACCCCCCACAACCTGCCCAGGACTAGGCTGGACTGTACCTGGGCCTCATAGGGGAGGAAGGCAAGGTGGATCTCTTTCAGCGTCTTCACTACCTTTGCCAGACGGGAGCGGCCCAGCTCACTGAACAGAGGCTCAGGGCAGGCTGGGGTGGGCAAGAGGGGGCATTAGACCAGAGCTGCCCACACCTCCAGCCTCAACCCCTACTCCTCCACGTTTCTCAGGTTATCCATACTCACTGTCTGTGAAGAAGATGTGTGCTGCTTTGTAGGTGAAGGTCGGGGTCCCCCGGAAGTCTGCGATCAGGGCCTGTACCGACTAGGGAATGCAGATCAATCTCCAGGCCTGGCCCTGCACTCCCTGACCCATCTGTCCTCTGCCCCAGCCCCTCAGCCACTGCCTGTGCTCCCATACACATGCAGACATGCAGAGGCATGCACCCATGTACACACACACATTTGTTCACATAGGCACCTTCTCCGTGGGGCTCAACAAATAAATGGCCTCCAGGCTGGGGATGGGTTCTCGCCTCTTGTTGATGTCCTCAACAACTAATAGGAACAGAGAAAGGGACACATGAAGGTCACTTTGGGACTGGGGCACATGGCAAGTGTTAGACATTGGCAGTGTTCTGCACATTCAGGGTCACACAGTCACACCCCAAGGGGCTATGCATCCTGGCACCCTACACTGAGTTTTCCCTGAGGGTTCTACACAGGTCCACACACAGGGGTTGCACAGCTGGGGAGACTGCTCCTCAGGAACCACAGCCTTAAGTCCTGTGTGGGGCTCTGCCCATCATGGGCTCCCACACTCAGGTCCCATGTGCAGAGCATGGGGTGGGGGTGTCCACTCACTGGTGATGCCCTCAGCCAGGATGTCTGACATCTTGCAGCAGGATGACAAAATGCGCATGCTTGGGTGGTCCATGATAAGCACCTGTCCAGACAGATGGATGATGGACAGACAAGTGGGCAAGAGAGGCTGAAGCTGCCCCAGAGGTGGGCTGGGGTGGTGAGCAGGACTGTTGGCTTCAAGCGCTGGCTGGACAGGACCCAGGACCCTACCTCCACCCCATCCCAGACCCACCCAGACTCCTCAGGGAATTTGGGGGAGTCTCACATTCAGGGCCCCTCACATGGGCTTGGAAAACGCATTCTGCCTCACCCCTACCTTCCATTCGCCGTCCTTTTTGACGCTCCGAATGACTCCACTCAAAATTTCTGTAGGGGAAGGTGGGCTTAGGATCCTGGGTCCTCTGTCTGCTCCCCCACCCATACCCCTAAACCTTCTGGATCCCAGGCTGGACTTCCATCTTAATTCTTGTTTACTCCTTTCCCCCATTCTGTGGCGTAGCTCCTGGTGTCAGTCCCAACTTGTAAACAGGGAAACAGGTTCAAAGAGGGCAAGTGATTAGACTAAGCACCCTCAGTGCCTAAGTGGCCCAGAGCCTGGTATGTAAGTAGCCCTGGATAAATATACTTTAGATGAATAACTGGAAAGTCAGGGCTCGCATACAGATCTTCCTGCCTCCAGAGCTGGACTGGGCCTTACTATGGGCTACCTCCAGTTCTCCTGGTGTGGAGGTTTTGACCAGAGCTGCCACTCCACCACCATCAGTTTCCACTAGATTAGAATGCAGGGCCCCTGGTTCCCCGCTTTGAAATGCGCCTGGCTGTGGTCATTCCGTCACCCAACCTCCAGCCTCAGTTTCCTCATCTGTAACACGGAAATCAGTGGCTTTCCAGTCTCCCTTTAACCACCACGTAGGAGGCTCCTTTTCAGCTGGGGTGCCGGGGCTCTGAGCCACCCCCCGCCCTGCAGCGGAGCGGGTGGAGGGCAGGGCGGCCCCGCCCGCCGCGGCACCGCTGTTATCTGGCCGGCCGGGCGGAAGGAGCGGCTGAGGCCGGAACTACCCGAGGGTCAGGAGGGGGCGCGCCTCCCCCCTCCCCCAAGACGCCGGCCGCACAGCCGGGACGCCCGAGTCCTCACCTAGCACCGGGCTCAGCGAGGGCATCCCCACCCCGGACCTCGACAGGGGCCTGGACACACCCCCTGAGCTCTCGCACGGTCTCGGGCCGCTGACCAGAGCACCCAGCCGGGCCCAGTCCGCGGCACTGGACCCCAAGAATCCAGCCCCAGGACTTTGCCCGGCTCAGAGACCCAGGAGTCTGCACGTCCAGCTGTGCCCGACGCCACCCCTCGGGTCCCCGGAGTCCAGTCTTACAATTCGGTTGGGCTCCGGCGCGGGAGAGCCGGGCTGTCCAGCTGGAGCCCGGTTCCCGCCCGCCCCCTCGAGGATCAGGTGCTCGACGCCCAGCCCGGCCTCCAGCTCCCCGCCGCCGGGGTCCCGGAGTCCC